TAATATTTTTTTAAATTAACAATAAAAAATAATTTCAAAAATAGGCTGTCAAAAGAAAAACGCGCTAATTAATTAATTAACAAAATTATATATTTAATAATTACATAAAAGAACAAATAAAAAAATACGTATACGCTGCGCAAACTTATGAAAAGAGCGTGGTATTATCCTGTCACTTTCTAAGGCAGATCTAAATTCCCGTGAGAATAGTAGAGTGAAAATCGGGAGATGACGACGATCTTCTCAAGAAAAGACGAGCCCTAACGGTGCTTCAGCGGTGCAGAAGACAATTACAGGAGCGTCAAGACAGAGAGAGTTGTAACTGTCGTATTTACATCGCGAGCTGTTCCAGTTCGACATAAGGAAAATACGACGTAAAGCATTTGTTGTGCTCCCTCATATGGACTTCTTAAAGTAGGAAATCATAATGCTTGACATTTTATTGCGCTTAATTTGATATCTACGATTTCGAAATGCAAAAGGAACTTATACCGCAAATTATCGTCTCATTTAGAAAATAACAGAAGAAGTGCTGTCAATTTTTTTTAGCAAGCTTCCGTGATTAAAAAATTTTTAAATCTAAATATAAAAGTTATTCATGGTAATATATATTAAGCGGAAGAAAACATATGTAAAAGTCCTCTACAAAATGTATAATAATTAGATTTAAAAATATCTCGCAAGAAAAGGAAGCACAATTATATTAGCTATACTATTATATATATTGACAACTTAATAAACTCAATAAACTCTTAACAAATGAAAGAGTTCTATCTTTGTTTTGTTAATGCAAACAAATCTATTAATTAATGCTTCTATAATAACTTTACTTGCACTTCTAACTTTCACTGTTCTTATCCATTTATTATATTAATTATCCATAAAGTGATATCGCAACATAATAAATTACGTTGGTATTCGATATTTTTATTTTTTATTCGAATATGACAAACTATGGGAGCGCCTTGCATATCCGTCCAAACAAGATACTAAAATATCAGAACATTAGATACATAAAATATCAGACACATACTTCAGTATGTGTGAAGTGTTTTCAGAGTAGAAAAGCTTCATATTTGTATGGATAATGGATATCGTACGCTCGTTAAAATTCGTTTAAGTATTGACATTTTTCTAAAGCTGAGCTGATAAAGCGTATAAATGGAAAGTAACTTTTCTTTTTCTGTTTCTTCTAAGAATTTCTCATACATTATCCGTTATCAGTTATGCATATTTGCACAGATAAAACTTGAACAGATTTTATCTGAAATTGAAATACTGGAAGAATATCATCATGTCAATACTATAGAATATTGATATACTCAGATTTTAAATCACACAATGTAAAAAATATTCTAATAAGAAAATGAAAAGAATATAAAGATAACTTTTTCCTTAATAAAACCGTTGGGAGAGAAAGACCTATTATTTTTATAATAACTTTATTAAATTTTAATATTCCTCTTATGTTTTTTTTTTAATTAAAGTAATATCTATTTTATTTAAATTAATTATTTTCCTATCCATTTTTGTGCTTTGCAGTTCAATAATAAAGTAACAACTCAAAAATTATTAGTATTTCTATGTTAATAGAGGCCGACACTAAATTTCACTAGTTAAATGACATAGCTGATGCAGAACATCTTCCTTTTGTAATTTCAAGATACTTCGTATAATAATCTTGGTAATTGTAACAAAAGAGCATTAATTAAGAAACATCTGTGCTTCTATATTATGATTCTGTACTACGATTCTTTTTGGAAATCGGGACTACGTAAAACACGTGCAAACGGAAAGCGATAAATTTAGGTCGAAAGAGTTTCCCTCTTTGACTGGCGATATACCGAACGGCCTGATCGTCCTCCTCGAAAGTGGCTTACGTCCTCGTCATTTATTCGCCGTCCTGACGCGCGCTATCGTCGATTCACGATGTGCATAAATCAACCGTGACTCTTGAAATACAACGCGAGCAGTGCATTATTAACATACAGTTCCAACCTGCTCTCCTAGCTAATTAAAGAACGTGACTGTGAGACGATTTACAATGAACCAAAACAATTTTTCAAAGAAATTATGATTTTGGAGCTAAAATTTAACTATTAATTTTGACTAATTTGATTTTGACTAGGGAAAGGCTTCCTTCTATTTTCAATAAATTAACTTTGAGGATATAAAAGTACAAAATACATAATAGCCAAAAATAGACTGATAAAATGATAAGAAAATATTAATATTAATATGTATATACATGCGCACAGCACAACTTTCTAACGACAAAATAATTTTGTACAAGAGAAATGCAACTATATTTGAAAGAATATATAATTCTTTTTCTTTTTTTTTTTTTTTTTTTTGAAGAAATTTGTAATCTATTATTTCTCATACTTTGTTACAAAGGTACAAATTACAAAGTCTCTTAATTGTTGGCAAAACAATGTTTGATACTAATGCGAATAGCTCTCACGCATTTATTATTATCTATGTAATATAGATTAGACTGCTCGAAAGCAGTGTACATATTTTCTATGTAGTCAAGGCTCTCAGACGTTTCTCGGTACATCATAATCGCACAGCTCACACGATTCGCCTCGTTATCGATACCGCGAGTAAAGAGAATTATAGCGCATTAAAATGATCCATCATTAAATTCATTGGAACGATTAAACACAACAACAGCGATTTCCATTTTTTTCAACCGGAAACTATTGCACGCGATGAAGATAATGAAGAATTGTTTTTTGATAACGAATTTGTTCTGTGTTGATGTTGATATCTTATTAGTATAATAAAATTAGTATAATAAAATTGTGTTGAGTAAAGATACCCAGATATATAGCACAAACAGTTCAAAAAGAATTCAATGATATGTCATCAATTCTGAATTCTTTTTCTAAAAAGTTTTGAAAAGAATTCTTATTGCATCTGAAAATGAGCTCAGAAATTGATAACATATTCTGAATTCATATTCTGAATTCTTTTTAAATTCTTTTTGAACTTTCTGTGCTATCTAAATATATATACAAAAATATACATCATCGAAAAGTTTCTATGTTTTTATATAATTACTTTATAATTAATATCTGTATAATATTTATAAAGAAAAATTACTAGCTTTGCTACTAAACACTTTTTATATATCAAACGTATAACGTTTTACATTAAATTCTAGCTTGTTTTGTCATCTATTATTGTTTTTGATTGATTTTTAATCCAATTAAACTTTTTTATTTATTATTTATTATTTTAAACAAATAATTGATAATAATAATTTAATAATAATTTGATAACTGATTATGATACCATTTGATTCCATGCAACATCAATCAATCAAATTCCACAATCTTGAATTTCAAAAGATCTAAAATTCTTCTACGGCAATAATTACTCGATGACTTCTTTCGATCTTTTCTTCAATGTTACTCACTCTTCGAGCATCCATCTCTCCTGCAGTCAGGATCTCTCCGCCAGGAACATGTCACATGCACGCGAAACCAATATCACACTCGTCTTAAATTTTTTTTCTAGAGCAAATTAAATTCCTGTTAGCTCTCAGCCTTGTGTCATCGTCACAGCGCGTAATACGATTAAACGGGCGCAAGAACACTGTTCTCTTCGTCGCCGCGTGAAGGTGAAGGTTGAAATGGAAGGACGCAGGATCGAAACAACACGATCATGCATGGGAAGGGGGATGGGAAAAAAGAAAGAGATGGGAAGAAAGATGCGCACTTGACCAGGGTCAAAGAGAGAGTCCATTGGAGCGTCTTCAATCCAAGTCACTTATATACAATTACGCTTCTCCTTCTTTCCTGACACCTCTCTCTCCTTTCTATAGCACCTTTCCCTCGCTTCAAAACAAGGATTCCTCCGTGTATATTCAGCCGATCTCTCTCTTTGAGCCTGCAGTTGAATGCATGGATTAGACGGAGGGGTTTCATATCTATTCAAGAAAATCTTATTCGAAAAAATGTCTTCTGATCCTGCTACATATAATGGACATCGGGAAAAGATACCTGAACTCAAGGGTCGCAGGCTGGAATTTCAAAAGAAAATTTATGAAATATCTTGAATGGAATATCTTTAACGCAATTCTAATTCACCTGTGTGATGTAGCTGAAGTTTTCGTTTCACATAATATTTTTTATTCTATTCAATATAATGTTCATATAACTTACATCTTACAAATTATTAAATTATTACTATTATTATAACAATATTGTATATCAAAGTTTATTAAAATCTATGTATAAAATCTAATGTATAAAAAGCTTAAATAAACATTTTATCATAATTTTATCATAATAAGAAATAAATTTTAATCTAAGGTGACGAGATAGAAAATAAATTGTTTGTATTCAATATCAGTAAAACCTTGCAAAATCTATTTCAATATATAGATACAAGATGTGCATGCATAATTGCATGCATAATACCAGCATGCACGAACAAGCAGAATATTACGTGCGGACATTAAATCCAGTTGCAACTTTCTCGTCGCTTTCTGGCGATTTTGTATTCCGTAGACTTCACCCTCGATTTCCTCGTCGTAAGATCGTCGCATTAAAAAAACACGCATTCTGAATCGCGTCCGACATTTCACCTGGAAGGAATCGCCGGGGATGCACAAATGCCGTCTTGACTTCAAACGTCGTCCAAAGAAATACGCATATATTATTTTAATTAAATTTGCATCCCCATTAACTTTCGATAATTACGTAATATACCTAATAGCATCGATAAATTAACTCCTTGAATCCAAAAATTGACAAATATTTAAAAATAGAAATTGAAAAATTAAATTTGCGCAACAATATTATCATCGATAAAATTAAGATCAGGGATTAGAAATCCCGAGGCAGAAAATGTGCGAATTCATGGCAAGAGAACTATCTTTATTTTATCTTGCTTTACGTTCTAAATCCCTGATAAATGAATGTATGATTGACACAAATCATAAATTTCTTTGCTATAAATAAATACAACATTCACACGTCGGCCAAATCTTCGCACGCAACAATGAATCGTTTCTCGATCATCGTTCTTTTGTGCCTTTACACTACTTTCAAAATCGCTGAAAATCAAATCATACTTACTTGCACGGAGATAGGTTTTTTCGAGATCAACGATGGAACTTGCAGAAATTACTATATGTGTGTGAATAACGGTGTAAATTTCAATCAAGTGTTATTGTCATGCGCCAGTACTTTCATATTCGATCCTACTCAGGGTAGATGCGTGTCTGAAAGCACAACTACGTGCCAACAAACAACAACATCATCGACAACGACACCATCGACAACCACCTCAGCACCACTCTGTGTTAAATACGGCAGATTCCCAATACAAGATGTAAACTGTAAGAGTTATTATTTGTGCTACTGGAACGGCACCAATTACACCATAATGGATAATCTCTCGTGCCCGAATACGCTGATATTCAATCCAACATCAGAAAAATGTGTATCGCCATTGACATTCACATGTCCAGGGACGTAAGGATAATAGAACTTTACAATATAGATTATATACTGCAATACTGCGTATGTTTGTAATCTATAGGTTTGTAATCTATAAGATGCTAATGTACTTCTACAAAATCATCGTGTATCTTAATGTAAAAATATTAACAATTATTAAATTGTTTATCAAAATAAAAATATATATTTCTTGAAAATAATATTCTTCCTGATTATAATAAATACATGTCCGTAAATATACATGTTGATAAATAAATAATTTAGTATGATAAACGAAAATGTGTCAAATATGTAAAAAATACTGTATCAACTAATAACATTTAATAAATGGAGCGATTAAAAAAGAAAAAGGCGCAAATGTAATTATTTACCATTATAAATCATAAACAAATTTTCGACATGTGTCATAGGACTGATAGAAAAATAATAAAACGGTCTGCGAATACTGCGCATTTAACAATCATTTTATTACCCATTATTTATTACACATTATTTTCAATTTAATGGAAACAATAACAGTACGTAACAATTTCTCGTTAATACAAATGCGATTCAGTCAATACAATTACGATTGCAATCGCTATTCACGATTAATTATTTTCGAACGTTATGAATGCGCAAGCTATAATCATTCACACGATAATCATGCGTTTACTACTTTAAAGAAAATTAAATAATCATAAATACCAGCTTTTTCCTACCCATGAAAATCAAACATATTAATTCAGTGTTGCAAAAATAATATGTAAAAATTACACTAATATATGTAAATTTTTATTTCACGAAATAATTATATTCCTTTTATAATTTTATTCCTTTTTTATTGTTTTTTATTGTTAAATGTATTATATTTATCTGGAAATTTGTTTACATTTATATAAATAAAAAGCACTATAATCTGTCATTTACCGTATTTTAAAAGACAATGTATTGTAAATAATATGTATTGTAAAGTTTTTTTATAACAAACATTTACACATTTGATTTTAAGGAATTATACAATGTAATTCCTTATTTCAGCTTCTTTGAAATCTTTTGACATTACAAAATGACAAAATAAAACTTAATCTTGTACAACTCAAGAAAGAACTTTGTACAGTATGAATTCAATGAAACTTTTAAGATTGCCACCCATTGGCGCCTCTTTGATCCTTTCATTTGACCAGTGTCCAACTTCTTTTGTGCCTCTTTTTCTTCTCAATCGAACCCTGCTATCACTGGGGTCCGCTAAAATATCCAATAAATTTATTTTGGTGGCTTCTTTAACATTTATTAATTGAAGTCAAATTACTTTGCGTTAATTGCGATAGCATATGCTGCAACCCGATCACAACATCTTCCTGTATTCCTGGTAAGGTCTCTCGCACAACTTCCATTTTTGTTTCGTTACTCATGTTGTTTTTTGTTGAAGGCACTGTGCTTTCATTTCTTTCATTAATCATATTTGTGTCATTAGTTGTATTTATTTCTATATAATATTATTTGTTTCCTCTTCAAGTTTATATGTTATCATGTTTAACTGTACATCATTTGTTATATTAATATTACGAGATTCCGAAACATTTGAAAGATCAACATTGTTAAGGGTTATTATTATCGAAGGCATTGTACTTTCTTCTTTAGTTAGTCTTACGTTTCTTTCACTTTCTGTATAATTGTTAGTAGTTGTTTCCTCTTTGGAATAATTTGTCATTGTGGAAAGTTGTAAGTTGTAAGTTGTTAACTCAGTATACTGAATTTGTAAAATAATAAAAGCATCAATCGCAGAATTAGTGGAATCATAAAGATTTTGTTGAGCAAATTTATTTAGACCTTCCATTTCATTATCACTTCTTCGTCTTCGTCTGCGAGATGTTACATGTTCTTGATATTCAGAGTAATCAAATTTAGTATCGTCGGATCCTGAAGTAAATTGTTCTGGGTTAAAATTCTCAAAATCAGTATTCGTAAATTTCAATTCTGCATTATCATTATCAACATTATCTGGTTTTTTGTTGACAAAATTTGAATTTCTTGTCAAATTACCCAAGCTAATGCAATTCAACAATGTGCTTATAATCTCCATATTGACGGAATCGTTCAAGGATTTCAATTGCTCGAGTAAATCAGGATTAAGATGATGTTCTGGATTCTCGTCCAACGATAAGTGTTTCTCCATCTCGACCAAGTTGTGTTTCTCCTTGTTCTCATTAATGTGCTCCAGAAGGATCTTGACTTTCAATGACAACTTATGTTGCGGCATACTAGTAGTCATGCTTCTTCGGGTGTCCATTGTGATATGTTTAACCATCAACTTGTCACCTTCTGGAGGGATCAACATGGTTGTTGTTACATTTGTGATAATCGAGTGATCAATTATTTTTGATTCGAATAGAGGAACTTTTGTCTGTTTTGGTGAGCGAATCGTGTCAAATTGTGGTGGAAGTTTCTCACAATTTCCGAACTCGTCACAGTCTTCCAAACTAACGCAATCCTCGGAATTTTCACATGAATAACTTACCTCGCCACTTATCACTGGTGACAAAGTCGTTGATCTGACTTTTGTTGGCGACATCGTTGTAATTATGGAAATAAATTTTCTTTCCTCACTAGTCTTTAGTCCACTTATCGTCGTGGGCAACAAACCTCTAATTGCAGCCTTTTCTTTCGTTTCCTCAGAAGTCACTTCTTTAGACATTAATGATGACTCCATAATTACAGTTTTGGTTACACTTTTTGTCGAAATTGGCTTATCAGGTAACTTATCAAAAATCCGATCAAGTTTAGTAGGTTCTTTCGTGAATTCTAGTGATTTCGCGCTTGTAATATTTGGTTCAATATCAACTTCACTTGAAGCCATTATGCTCTCGCTTGAAGATGACATATAATCAACTTTTTCTAATTCTTCGCTTGTCAGTGTAATTGAACTTTTACCTCTGTCTTCTTTGGGTTTCGAGTATTCTTTCATTCTTTCCGCACTAGAGCTTTCATTAATATTTGTTTTCAATGAACTAGTATCAACAGATGCTGTTGATCGAGACGCATATGCTTTCGAAGATTTTGTGAAAATATCTTTCACGAATGCAAACGGAATTGACTTTTCAGTTACTTCAGAAATTATTTCTTTCTCTTCTTTTGATAAAGATTCCGTAATCTCTTCTGATCTTTCTTCAATAGAAGGATGAAATATCTTCTCTTTCGAGATTATTTCTTCATCACTAATCGATGATGTTTCGGCTATCGCAGCTGTTTTCGTCGTAGTTAATACTTCAATAATTAATTCTTCCAAAGTATTATATTTTATTTGTATTATATTTTTGCATTAAACACGCTGGATCTGATGGATTCTCTTCACAGTCTATTTTCTCCTGAATTGTAATCATTTTTTTAGGAAACGTCGTTGTTTTTCTAGATACTACTTTAGCAGGTAATAATTTCATAGCTGTAGATAAATGATCTTCGACGCTCTTGTTTTCAGATTCGTTCTGCAACTTGGTGACTATTTCTTCAGTAGTGAATTTATTGATTTTTGATACAATGTTAGGAGAAATTATGGTTGATTCACAAGCATTTTCGCAGGATAAAATAGTGTATTCAATCATAGACTCAGTGAGTGTACTTTCCGTATACTCTTCTTCAGTCGTCGTTGCCGTCAGTTGATGCATTTTAGGACTAACTTTGATCTCCACTCTCTTCTTCGGAATCTTTGAGTCGTCGTTCAATTCTACAATATTTTTACTAACCACTGGACCAACTCCGCATTTCAATTTTTTATGTTCCCAAGTGATAATATTACTCACATGACTGACCGAAGTAAAATTAACGATCCTGCTGACCATCGTGTCTTCATCTATGATATCAAATAAGGCCGTCTTACCAATATCGGTATCATCCGCCGTCAATTCACCCTCGAATCTTCTACATTCGAGATATCTTTCCGATATGGTTGCTGAGTTCTCAAAAGAGATTGTGTATTCACGAATAACCAATCTTTTCGGTGGTCGAATAGACTTGTCCTCTTTGATAGTTGTCGTTTCGATCCAGCACAGAATGATGTCTTCGCCTTTGTGAATACTGCTAGATTTTTTCACTTTGGAATTGTTGCCAATCACATTGTCAAACTCCTTTTCTAGGATTAGCGAACGGCCTGTTGTATTCGCGATGAAGCTACTTGAGTACCTCTGATTTTTCTTTTTATCGCTTGTACAATTCATTGATACTTCTTCCTTGGCAATTTCTTCTAATATCGATTGTCCTGCGACTATCATAATATTTTCCGTCGTACTTTGCCAATGGCGATGGTGTTTAATACGATGATGATTTTCATCACTGAAAATATTCATATTCATATTCTAATTTTCATTCTGATTGTTTACCTTGCTATGCAGAAAAATATAGAAGATCAAATAATTAATAATAATACAAAGATTGCAATATATTTCAAATTAATAGATTAATTGTATCAATTAATTAATCTTTCAAACTTAACTTGTCTTTCTTTTTTGTTATTTTCAGTATTATTGCGATATTAAACATATTTTATACTTTCCTATGACTGCGTTCCACTGAACACTCGCAAGCGTCGTTTATTCTTATTTAACAACAAGATTGCTAAACAACAAGAATAAAATGATTCCACAAGCATTAAATAGAACGCAGCCTATATAGACTTATTTTATTGATTGTACTTTACTTTTGAATTGTGTTATCTTCGTCATTGTCAACATTTTCATCATTATCATCATTTTCGTTGTCCTCGCTAGATTTAACATCTAATGTTTCCACCTCTCTTATGGAACGAGAATCTAAGGAGTCATCCAAATCACTCTCAGAATCTATTTGTTTCTCTTTGAATGTATTCTGCATCTGAAGATTAAACAAGTGCCAAAGAAAAGTTAATGAAAAGATTAAAAAGATTTGAAAAAAATAGTTCAGATATAGAAACACAAATTTTTATATTTAGAATTACAAATTTTTATTATCGAATAAAATTATTAGTATCAACACCCAGAAATAATAGATAATTAGAATTTATCTTAAAAAATCTACTTACGCTAACAATAAAGTCAATAAATCCGAATTAAAGCGATGCAATTGCATAAAACGTGATTGATGAAGAAATATCCAAAGCATCGTTTTATAACAGTAGTAATTATGTGATAAACGTAATAAACGATACAATATGTCAAAACTGCTGCGTTTATCTATAAAATTATAAAAAATGGAAAAGCATAAATAAATTATAAAAATATAAAAATATATTTCTTGAAAACATTCTTCAAAATTATTCTGAAAAGAAAAGTTTAGCAAAAATTTTATTGCATAAGATATTCCAAACAATCCAGTTTTTAAAAGATTTTAAAAACATATAAAAGTATAAACTATGTACAAAAAAATTTCAAAAATATAACAACAATACAGAAAAATTAAAAAAAAAACATTTCCATAAAATAAGCATAATAGATTTATTATACAGGATGTTTCGCAATTATTGACAAAATTTGTGTAGATAGAGTAGATTAAATTAAGTCAAAAAGTCTTTTACTATTTTGTAATTTTTGCAATAATTAACAAGATATTAATTACCAAAAATTGCTAAATATTGATCTTCAATAATTTTTTACTCAATTTTTTATCAACTTTACAGAAAAATAGTAAGAGACAAAAATTGTTTATTTTCTTCTCATAAAGCTCTAAGAATTTTTTCATAATTTTTTATCAACTTTTTATACTGCATTTTCTTATTGTCAACTATTTTTATTAATATAAGAAAATGCGATACTAAAAAATTCTGAAAAAACTCTCTCAGAACTCCGAGAAAAAAATAAACAACTTTATCACTTGCTATTTCTCTGTAAAATTGTAATATTTGAGTAAAAAATTATTGAAAACTCTACCATTATTGGTAATTTTTAGTAATTAATATCTTGTTAATTATTGAGAAAATTACAAAATAATAGAGGACTTTTCAGTTTAGTCCTACACAAGAGTGCTTCGTCAATAATTACGGAACACTCTGTATATTAAATTTACGCTAAATAAAAATACTCATATAATATACAACTTATAAATTTAAATGAACATAAACATAAAAATATATATTGTATATCTACATACTTGATTTAATGAATAAGAAGCAAGTGGAACCGTAGCATTATATCTAAACCAACAGCAAACCTGTTTTAATCAAATAAATATCCATAATATTATAATATATTCAGTAATGTGATAATATTAAATATTATCACATTACTGAAGAAAATATCCTTCAATATTAATAATCGCATAAATAAAAATAATAAATAAATAATTAATTAATTAATTAAAAGTAACATCTGTATATATTTGTACAAGCCAATAAATAGTTTTTCAGAAATATACGAGAAAGTTTATGAAGACGTTCAATATCGCCTGGCAGCAATCATGTATCAAATTTAATTTAGAAAATGTCGGTTTCACAATTGATCCTCGATCAAATCATGCGAGCTCGACGATATCTCGACACGCGAGATTAACCAGTGAAACGACTGCACAGTGCGTCGGCACGAAAGTGAGAATACTGAAGG